GGGGGGGGGGGGGGGGGGGCACCGGAGATATAGCTGAAAGAAACCCTGCCCCTATGTCACAGCGAAAAATAAATTAGTTCGTTGTATGATTGTTATCAGTAGCTTTATTGTATCAACCACATGGGTAGCAGCCTACAAAGCTTAAGTATATCTCCTTGCCTTGAAAAAAAATCTTACATCATGGGTGGCCGACCAGACAATTTTGAAAAGAAATCGCATTATGAAGAAATTATGAAAACGATGATTAATAATGGAATATGCCTACCTCTAACAATGCATGACTGAAACCTACATAATGTCACGTGATTGTGTCATAAGTAACACAATCTACAAGATTATAGCATTTTATTAATAGGACTTGGAAGTTTAGTTGACTAGATTAATTATAAAAATGTTGACGATGCAGATAATATGATCCCAGACTAAAACTTTAAAAATCAAAAATGCGCTCTCATCCTCATGTCCCTTAGTCCTTGGACCGTTGGGGCACCACAGATGACATGTGAACCATCCTCCTCCATTCCTCTCTGTCTTCAGCACTACGCACTGCATCGCCCACTGTTAGTCCTGTCCACTCTTTGATTTTATCCTCCCATCTTTTTCTTTGTAGTCCTCTTCTTCTTCCTCCTCTTGTGGTGCCCTGCAATATTTCTTTGGCAAGCCCTTGTTTCCTTGTTACGTGGCCGTACCATTGTAGTTTGCGTTTTTTTCACAGTCACCAGTAGGTCATCGTACTCCCCAATTGCCTGGCGAACCCTTTCTTTGACTGTATCATTGGAGATATGGTCCCTATAGTAGATGCCAAAAATGCTTCTGAAGCATCTCATCTCCTTCGCCTTTATTTTCCTTTCAAGATCGGCTGTTAATGTCCAGGATTCGCAGGCATACAGGAAAATGGAGAGGACCAATGTGCGCATCAGCCTGATTTTGGTGCTGGGGGCTATATTTTTGTCATTCCATATTTTCTTGAGCTTCTTTAGTGCTGTTGTAGTCTGCGCAATCCTGGACATCAGTTCGGGCTTGGGGCCTTCTTCTGAGACTATTGCTCCTAGGTATTTGAAGCGGTCGACAGTCTCTAATCTTTCCTCCCCGACCTTAATAGGCAAAAATAGATCCGTGTCCCACGATGAGATGAGTACAACGCCACACTGGATTCCGTGTTTCATCGGGCATCGTCTCATTTGCTCAACCCTTTTCAGATCTGAAGATCCGTTCCCGATCTCACACTCATTTACATTCCCTCTGTCATTTGGGGCCATCCATATGTTACGTAAACAATGAGGGGGGCAGGGGTGTTAAGTTTGGAGATTTTGCGTACTGGTGCATATGGTCGGTAGGAGGGAGTCGGCAGAAAGTATGTAGGCCTACATTTATAAACAAATCTTCAATCACTGGTCAACATTTTTTTTTTACAAAAGTCATGTTACTGAAATAAAATTAGTCATTTCTTATCACTTTTTTATTTTCTAAACACGCATATGACAGTTGAAATACAAAATTGAAAATTGGCTTCTGTTTTTTTTTTTTGTTTGTTTGTTTGTTTGTTTGTTTGTTTTTTTTTAACAGCAATAAAGTACGTTAATTTTTACATCACGAAATACATGCCAACAGAAATAGGCCAAAAATTAATACTTGTAAAAAAAATTAAGTCATAGAATACTCTTAGATTTCGTCGCCTGTCTCTTGTACATCTCTTTGTATCTTTGTTCAATTTGTTTTTTTTTTTTGTGTTTTTTTGTTGTTTTTTTTGCGATACCTTGATGAAAACGTCCACCATGTTCAACACTAACCACACCACAGGTGACAGGGTGAAATACAGATGATTATAAAGGAAGTGACTCTTTAGAGACATATTGCAGCCACGTTTCTGATACTGCATCAGCATGTCCTCTACTAGTTCCTTGTAATTTTTCTGCCCTAACAGTCCCAGGAAGGTTTTTACACACTAGGCTACTAGGTGAAAAGCATTCCATGCTGTTTTACATCACCATGCAGCAAGTTGTTGAACCTAAAATCTTCGAAGAGCTCTTTAATCTGAAGACCCACAAAAACTCCCTCTTTAAACTTTGCTTCACTAAGTCGAGGGAACTTATTTTTCAAGCAGGTATCGGAAAGATGACCAAGGTCGGTATATGGCTTTCACGGATTTTTTCATCAAACTTTGTTGGATGTGAAAGGGGAAAGCGAGGTTTTGTGAGCCTCGACCAGAGCTGGGTGCTGGATATTCTTCTCTCCAACTCTACATCCTGTTGCGAGTTCATTCCTTCCGCAAGTAGTGCAATTCCCTCGCTCGGATATCACACTCACATTAGAAGCACACTTATTTGGTACATCCCTACTGCAGTCCCATTAAAAGGGAAACTACCTTCAAATCACGACAGAGGTGGTACTTGTTATTATCAATGGAAGACAGTCACCGATTTAAGTTATCATATTTCTTTCATGTAGACAGCAGGCGCTACTAGAATATAATATGGAAGACGGTTTCCATTATGCAACAGCACAGCCTTAAGGCTCAGTTTAGAAGAGTCTACAAACAGTTTCCATTATTGTGGTCCTGAATTCCTTTCTGAAGAAAGGCTCCATTTGGTGGTCACGCTTTCGATATAAAGTAATTATGACTTCTTCTTCTAGAAGATTCCATTGTTGGAGTCTTGATCCTAGTAATTCTGCCTTGTTCTTGGGTGATTCCAAATCACGAACCTGGATCATTGCATGATCGGCCCCACCCTTGTCCTCATCTGCTGGGGGTTTTGGAATAGTAAGTCGTCGTCCCCCTCCCCCCCCCCCCCCACGCGGAACTGGTTTCAACGCGGACAGAATGTTGGGAAGACATTTCTCGACTTCTTTTGCTTCGATATTACGCCGGAAGAGGGGGGAGGCAAGCAGAAGTAGCAGTCATTTATGTGGTTGCTTGGCTCTCTCGACACCATAAGGACAACAAACGGCATTGATGGTCTTTGGTCATTTAACCACTTGAATGGTACATGTAGCACAGCGTATAGGCTACGTGAAACATAGAAAATGAAATATATTCAAAACGAGAGCCATTTTTTTTTTTTAAAATTGCATGATTGTATTCGTGTTCACCACACCCAGATACTACATATTAGGTCCCTTTAAGGCCGGTAACAATTTCAATGTTGACCAGTGTAATTATCCCGACATCCGGAAGTCTATTATTGGATATTTATATCTCTAATAAAAACCGTTTACTTCATTCCCAATCTGTGCAATCCATGATATTTAATTATGTGTTAACGTTTTTTTTTTTTTAAATATATTTTTAAAAAATAATCAAATTAATGTTTTTTTGTTTTTTTTTATTTTTTTCCATATTGTTTTTTAGCTATTTTACAAATAACTCGTTGTATATTGCAACAGGCAACAGTTAAAGTAATTAAGCCCATTGTAAACTTTAAATC